TTACAACAAAAAATTGCACTCTCGGCAAATAAATTCAGTTTTTGAGAAACAGTATACCACAGATTTTTAAGGAAAAATGGGGTGGTAACATTGCAAAATTGGACTCTAATAAGAAATGCAGCCACTCCTAGCTGCAATACATTGGCGGCAGCGACGTTCCATGCTCTCAGTTAAACTGTCGTTCAGCGAAATGGGAAGCAAGGACCAGACACTGAGTAATCCTTATTCAAGCTCATCTACGAACATTGGAGGAGGATTTAAAGCAGCAACCTGTCTCCCAAAGATGCTGTATCGGATTCAGGTCTGGGACTGCACTGGCCATTCTATCCGCTTCATACCGTGACCCTCAAGATATTCTTCAGCAACCCAAGCTCGGTGTGGTCACGCATTGTCGTCAATCAGAAGAAATCCAGGACAATATGGGCGAACATATTGATCAAGGATTTCGTTTCAATATCTCACACCGGTCAAAGTTCCTCCTTGGAACACACGCAGTTCAGTGTGACCACGAGAGAGATACCAGCCAAAACCATTATTCCACCACTTCAGTAATTATGTCTTTCTACAATATGGGATAGGTTGTATCTGGTGCGTTGTTCCCTCCAGATCAGCTGACAACTTTAATCACTCCCCAATGTGAACCTGGACTCGTTTGTGAAGAGAACAGACGCCCATTGTTGACTGGTCCAGGAGACGTGTTCTCTTGTCCAACATGAACGTGCACCTCTGTGTCCTCGGGTCAAGGGGATACAAACAACTGGTCATCTTGCACACAGACCTTTATTGTGTAGGCGCACTGTAGTACCTGAGATTCTTGTCCCTGTTGCCACTAAATGATCTGCCATAAGTTGAGGCACAGTAATGTTAGTCCTAAATAAGGTCTCCCGCAGGTGTAGTCATTCTAGGTCTGCCTGGAACATGTTTTTTAGATACAAACTCCTAGGATTTAAACTGATTCCATGGTCGGTGGAGCACGCTACGAGAGATAATGAGACGTCTATCGCAGCATCAGCTTCTGACATTCCCGTTTCCATTCATCCAATTGCCCGCCACCTCAAAGAATCGGGAAAACGACTTCTGGATATTTTCCACGAAACTGTAATAACAACTGAAGATTAATTCCTTTTCTTCTTAGAACTTTGTATGTTAGTGCGAATAAACTTTAAACTCGATGAATAATCGTGAACAAAAATTACGATTTTTGCATTTTTTCTCAAACTCCTATATAAATATTCAGTTCTATAAAATAAAAGTAGTAGCCATTGTTTTTGCGTATATTATCTTAAACTTCGTTACTGTCATGCATATGAACTGTGAAATTAAACGTTACTGATATTATTGTAATGGTGAGCTTTGAAAAACGTGCTGTCCCTTAACTTTTGGAGGGCAGTGTTTTGATGGTTTTAACTGAATTTCTGTTCCTTGGAGATGGTAAATGAAACTTTTTACTTTTATAAATTATTGGTTTATATATATATATATAAAGAATTAAACTTATAAACTTAATTGGAACAAACTGACAACAGACTTTTAAATTTCTAATTTTCAATTAAAGCACAACCTACTTCAAGGCATATGCAAACCAAAAAGCAATACACTCGAAACTGGCGAGTTTTATATCAAAATGGGGTAACACTTGGAATCAAACAGAAAATGAAGCATTTATCAACAAGGTTTTTGGAACATGCAGTATAACTTTGAAATTTCAGTAAACAGATAATATAAGCTGCAGCAATGAGAAAATAATTTTCCTCTAATAAAAAGGCCTAGACTATATTACTGTAAGAAGGGGGAAAAAGAAACACCTTGAATCATTAGTCTAAATATGATATACATATCCCTAATTTCCTATAAAAGGATACATTAAAAATTTGTCCCATTTCCCAAACTACTTTTTTTTTCCTTTCATTTTTGCAAAGCACTCTATTCTTTACTGGACTAGTCAGTTTAGTAAGTCATTTCTTAGTTTATATATTATATTATAAAAAAAAAATCGATACCAGATATATTTTTTATTATATTTTATAAATTCAAAATCCATCCCAGATATACTTTATCAACTATTCCTTTGATTTTATTATAGAATATAGAACCTGTTGATTTAACATTTCACACAGAACCTATAATCTTTACAGTCTTTACTTAACATAGTGAGTATTTACCTATTTGATTCTATAGCATTCACCGTTACTAAATTCTATTAAAATCTGGCCTTTCAATAAGGAAAATAATTTTTCTGTGACATGTTTACCATTTCATAATTAATTAATGGCTATATCTATATATATATCAAAAGGTAATAATTAAATAAAAATTAGATTAGGAAAGGGGCTAACAGTGAACATTCAATTAGAGTGTTACCTAGGTATATGCCAGTCATTAATACGTTCCAGATACTTGGACATATACACTAGTGTGCAAAACTTAACAGCAGGGTTTTTTGCCATAACTCCATGAGAAATCAACTGAGAGACATGAAATCCAGAAATGAAGGAGAATATTATGTACGTAAAGGATGATGAAAGCATCGGAGCTGAAAAGGAATGAATAAGGTATGGAATCAAACAAAAACAAGCTTTATTGAACGCATAGTATCGTGACTCATGATTGTCTATCCAAGAAGAAGAACAACAAGGCAGATCTTCCTTAATATGGAATATGCCCTCCCCTCACTGCAATGGTTGCTTCGCATGGTCTCCGCATACTCAGAACCAGCTGGTGCAACATTTTTTGCGGTAGGAGTGCCCATTCCTCAATCAGCATCTGTTTAAGTTGTTGGGTGTTCTTCGGAGGATGTAAGCGTGTGCTTCAGTGCGTCTCCCCAAAGCATCCCACACATGTCTGATGGGATTTAAATCTGGGGAATTCCAATCCATTTGAGTGATATCTTTACTTTCCAGTAGCTCCTCAATAGCAAGAGTCCGATGGGGGCTTGGTCCATCCATAAAAATTAAAGTCTGGGCCAATGGCACTCGGAACAGACGACATGGGAGGAACCTCTCTCACAATAGCGATCCCCGGTTACCTCTGTCAAAAACGTGGAGCTCAGTTTGCCCGTCAGCATAATGCCGCCAGACAAACTCCAGGACCACACCGTTCGGTGTCTTTCCTTCATGTTACTGGAATAAAACCGGGTTCTGACCTCTCTCCAAACCAAACGCATTGAGAATCGCTTCTGATCTGAACTGACTCTCATCCATAAAGAGGCACGACTCCATTGATCATTTGTCCATTTTTGTGCTCTCTGCACCACTGTAACGGTGGCCAACTTTCAACGGGAGGCAGCGTTCAGGACGGCAGGCGAATAGGCCCCTTGTGAAGGCGTCTGGCCACAGAAAACCGCGACACTTGTCGCCCCGTTGCTGTACAGAGGCTGAGCAATGGCGCTTGCTGCTGCTGTCGGCCTCTTTTCGCATGCAGGACGATATATTGGTCATCCCCTGCAGCTGTCGTCCTTGGGCGGCCACCACCAACCTTTCTAACAGCTGTACCTGTGGTTTGGAACACTTTCCAAGCACGCGAAAGACACTTTCATTGATTTCAAACTCTGCAGCTACACTAGTGACAGTATGCTCCTCCTCCAGCTTTCCGATCATTCTTCCACGTATGAAGTCGTCTAGGTGATTTCTTCTAGCCATATTTCACGAATTGACTCACTGGCACTTGCAGCGAATATGTTGAATTGCGTCTCCGTCCTTCCTTTTATTCTATTGTTGAGCTCCGCGTGCCGACATCACGCGTTTTGTGTACGCTCACGTCACCTCTGACGTTTCGTTCCTGATATTTGCATGCATAAAATGTTTCTACTGACTGACGTGTTCATTGTACTGATCTGCAGACCTCCTTTTCTGCAATTTCATGGCTATCTGCTAAATTTTTACATTGTTCCTTAAGTTTTGCACACCAGCTTACTACATGACTTTTTCAGTAGGAAATAAAGGAAAAATGATTAATCCATTCTCATTAAAAAATACCATTATTATTATTATTATAACATTGCTTAAATACTAAAACACAAATCAAACGTGTGAAATATACACTGTACGTAAAGGAATTACTGCACAAGATACCGTGATACATGTTTCTTGCTATCCAGATCAAAAGCAATTTTTTTCAACATGTTCTAACGTCTCTGACCTTTTTTCGGGGAAGGGGGTAATCAATTTCACTCTCTTCGCAACCTCTGTTGATTTAAAAGCATCTTTGTTCTTCACGATCGTAGACATCGTACCCGGCATGCGGTATGCAATAGCTATTGGATACGCATGCCAGCTTTATACTTTTCAACAATATCTTTTTTTCACCTCCATGGTGATCCTAATAATTTTCTTGTCGCTTGACTCTTTTCGTTAGCTTTCCTAACTCTTTAATGAATTTATAAAAAATGTAAGCAAAAAAACACAGAATCATTTGAAAATTCAAAGTTACAACGCAGGTTGTTTACTGAATAGCAGCAACAGAAGAACTAGGCAGTCATATCTTTGTCTGGAAAAAGGCAAATAAATGCAATGCGCGCAGTCGTGCTTCACTGAACACCAGTCATATTCAAGACAAAAATTTTCGTGCCCAAACAGGACGTATTTCAAAGCGGATGTATACTGAGATACCAATATGTTTAATTTCTTAAACTGACTGCAAATGCAGCATAAATGATTCACATTTAAGTTAGAAATAAATGAATAATCTACTTTCTAGGACCATGTTATAATTAAACACGGCAAGACAGTTGAGCTGGCACCTTGGAAAATAAGCAAAGGTTAAAAAACGGTTTAGCCTGTGGCTAAATTTAAATGAAAATATTAAATAATAAATGATATTAGGAAAATCAGTTGTTCACAGACCAGAGTTTTTCAGGAGAATCGCCGATATCAGCAACAATTCCTTCTCGCTACACATCAAAATTCAAAAAAAGGTTTTGGTAATTTGTGAGTGGTTTCAAACCATTTTCTAGATTAATTTAATTATTAAATATTTTCTTGAAAAAAATAGCAAACCCATACCCTATGCCTTTGATTTCAACACAGTTAAGATTATCAAGTTAGTTCCAAGTTACACTTATGCCGAGATTATCAAGCATTCTGCTTGATGTGTTCCGGCTGTCATCAGATGTTTGCTCTTGGGCACTGAAAGAGAATAAGTTCGAAGTGTGAGCCAGAGGGCGGGATCTAAGCGAAGGGGTGTGACCAGTGTCACATGGGCTGCAGCTGACTTATCATTGGTTACGAGTCTTCTGAGAAATACCTCGCTAAAATTGCAATTAATACAGTACAAAACATATATAAAAGTAGAAATAGTGAAATTAATTTCAAAAATCGTCTTCTAAATTATTTACATATGCGTATTAGTCCAAGCTCATCAGGAGATAAACACAGGCACGAAGAAGAGCCCGTAAGTCACATGGGTGGTCGCCCACCCACCTGAGGTTAGACGCTTGCTGCTTGAGTTTGGTGCACTGAAAGTAGATACTATCATGATCATTATTTAATAGACACTAATTAAGTGGGAAAGTCTTGATTTTCCTTAATCAGGTAAGCAGCATAAGGCCTGAGAAACCTATCTTCAGCAAGTATCTCGTAGTGAAACAAGTTAAGATTATTGTTATGAATTTTGTATTTAAATAACTAATGTTAGTAGAATTGTTTTATTTTCCCACGCAGTGCAGCGTGAAATGAGTTTTAAGAGAAAACTATAAACCAAAAAAGCAAAAATATAATCGCACGTACATTTAACATTGAATAAAAGTTTATCTCGGTAATTTATATGTAATTTGATAAATGTAGTTGACTACTGTGTTAGCTGTGGCCGTGATTCTACTCTTTTCGAGAAATCTTGAGAAGCAGAAATTACTAGAGTCTCTCGCGACCGATTTAAAGCTATAAAAAGCCAGACAGAGAATATCTCATCTCAGTTGTTAGTTAGCTACTGTTGTTATTGTTGATCCGATTAGCTTTCTCTGCGCTGTGAATTGCATTCTATTTAATGTTTTAGTAGTTTGAAGGATAACTACTATTATTACTACGTGATATTTTGAACACTTGTATGAATATCTCTGAGTTTTGTTATATTTCTTGTGATAAGAATAAATTTTATTAACCTTTTATCGGACCTGTGCATTCAGTCTATTACAAACATGTACACATGCAGCATTATAATTAAAATCAGTAATGAATCCACGTGCTAAATGCACTGTTTTAAAACTGATAAAATAAGAATATTACATTTAAAAAACCAAACATAATATTGAAAAATAAAAGAATTTTATAACTGGTAATAATTTTAACAAAAACTGAAAAAAAATTAATCAACCTTAAACTAATTAAAGTCAAATAAATAAAGAAAAGAAAACTGACATATATACAAAAATATAAATTTTTAAATCTAAGATAGGATTTTTACTATACTTGCGATTATTAAAGAATTATTTTTACTTATAGTGTAATAAATTTTTTAAACACACATAAGCACTGTGTTTATTTATTCTTTAGATATATTCTTCTAAAAATAAAAGCGAAAATATTTCTTTCTTGATAAATACAATCTGGATTAAATCCTAGGCTGCCCACGGAAAATTACTTAACCCCTTGGGTACGGATTTATTTGAGAAAATATTTGCATGTCGAACGGATATAATTTTTGGTTGCGATTCATCAATGGCTACTTCACTATCAGAGTTAAAAAAGTAACAAAAGTATTATTTAGGTAATTCACTATTTTATCTTTCTTATTCTGTCATCTTGATTTTCCTTTTCATTATCCGTAAAATGTAGAAAGCTTGAAATATCAAAAACCTTATCACGTGCCATAGTGCTGGCAAAAATTGGAGTACTTATTGTATATCTTTTTGACCAATGCATATGCATTTTTGGTTTCTTCATTTGTGACATCAAGATGCATAATGCAATATAAGCTTTCATTTCATCAAAACTTAAGGAAACCAACTTTTTTTTTTTTTTTTGTTACACAACCTTCTTTTTCTACCCCTTGTCTGGCATATCTATTCATCTCTTCTACTATAGTGTCCCAAAAATCTTCATTCAGGCCTTCTTCCAAAACACCTAAAGGCGTAGGATTATCACCTAGTCTACGCAGGCTCAAAGGATTAATTCCACATATTACAGAAAAACTTTTTATATCAGCTACATTTTCTTCTTCTTCCTAAATCCATTCCTCTGATACTGGTTCACGAGAAGATTCACTATCACTGCTCGATAGAAGTCTTGTGCGTTTTCAAAACCTTGGTTTTATATTAAAATTGTCATCGTTTTCTGGTTCACAAGAAGACTCACTATCACTGCTCAATAGACGTCTTGTGTGTCTTCGAAACCTTGGTTTTATATTGCAATTATCATCATTTTCCGGTTCACGAGAAGATTCACTATCACCGCTCAATAGACGTCTTGTGCGCCTTTGTAACCTTGATATATACTACAATTGTCATCATTTTCTAGTTCAATATCGTCTTCATCACCTTCGCTTTGTATTTCATTGTAACTGTCAATTTCAGGATCACTAAACAATTCTTCTTTAGATTCTCAGTCACTTTCGCTATCCATCAAAATATATTCCTTGTTTTTGCTAATGGGCAGTGTATCATAAATAATGTCCATGAATACTGCAATTGCCTCTTCTATTATGACGGATACAACTACAATGAAATGAAACAGAATTCTGCCTAACCTCAAATAACGTAGACACGTCATCCGGTCCTAGGGAAAACAAGTGAATGACGTCTCTCAGACGTCAAATGTACCCAAGAGTTTAATTTTTGGTTTGACGTCTTAGACACATCATCCGCTTCTGGGGGGAGGAAGTGAATGACGTGTCTCAGATGTCAAATGTACCCAAGGAGTTAAGAAATGCAACTACTTCCACTTCCACTAAATCATACGGCAAAATTTAAACAATATATACATATCTGAACATAAAGAATGATATACTCGTATATTTTGAATTTAAGATGGTTCCATAAGAAAATAGTTATTTAAATTTAAAAAACTATTGTTTCCATTTAATTATTACAAAAAAGTTATTAGGATATCATCATAAATGTAAAGTTTAGGATAACAGTAAAATTTAATGCAGTTTTATAAAATTTTACAAAGCATTAACAAATACGAGAATTTAATTCCTCGATTCAAATTTAGAATAAAAAACCAGGAAAAGCCCTAATAAATGCATTTTATTGATGTTGATCTATAAGGCAATATTAAAAAATAAAAAGCAGTGTGAATTACGTATCTAAATATAAAAGTCACCATTAGATAGTACCACATGCACAAATGTACCATGACTCAAGAATAACCATTAGAAAGTATCATACCTATAAATAAAAATTACAAAATTATGATTGAAATTAAGATAATCAAAAAGAATATCCTTAAGTTTTGGTTAACGTTCGCAGACACAATACTTTTAAAATAAAATATGGTAATATTGGTGCACAACTACAATATGCAAAAAATGTTTAATAATTAGTCTGCCAAAATAAAAAAAAAAATATGCACATATTTTTCACAAATCAACTGGATATCGAAAACAAGAAAATATTAGAAATCAGTTTAGTCATTAAAAAATTATTTCATAATATATACTTCTATTTCAGAAATCTCAAAAAATTAAACTTGTGAAAGGTGCGAAGAATGTTTCATGATCATATGTCCCTTCAAATGTACTTTTTGCCGAAACTTGTGACCACAGACTTTACACTGATATGGCCTTTCTCCAGTGTGAGTTAGTATATGACGGCGGACATGATGCAAATTTTTGGAATAATAATTACAAATTGCACAATAATGTATTTGATCTGAACTTTTCATACACTTTCAGCTGAAAGGAAGGCTTATACATTATTTCTATACCGAGCCTAAAAAAGTAATTCGTTACAAACAGAATGTAGTACATTTAAAATAATTTAAATCAATTAAAAATAAGCACAAATTTATAAAAATACATGCAAAATTTGAAAAAATAAATCCAAGAACTATATAAATAAATAAAAAATCTGAAATGGCTCATTAATAAATGATTTTGAGGCTCACCTAAAAGAAGCTTTTTAAAGTTAATATAATCCGATAGATTTCGATAGAGATAGCCCAGCTGGAATAGTGAAACATTTCATATGAGAGCAGATGAATATTCATTTAGACTAACACTGGGATGCTGTATATCTTCTGCATATTTAAAAAGTGAAAATACATAAAATTTAATTTTAAAAAATATTTAATGTATTTAATTAACTATATCACGGATTAAATGCACTTTTATTTAAATCAATCCAATTAAAAAGTAAAAAAAGAATATTCTTAATAACTGCATTTATTGCTTGTAAATAGTTTAGTATGTCAATTACTAACAGATAGATTAAATATACTTTCATAAAAAATGTACATTAAGCAATAGAAATTGTAATAATGCATCCTTTACTTCCATGTCTATTTGCTTTTCTTATTTTAGTAATCATTAGTATTAAAAAGGCGGAAAAACTTTCAATTAATTAATACAATTAGCAAAAATTATACATCAATCATTACAAAAATCATTATATGGTTCCATGATTCACTCCTAAAAAAGGGAATGTTGTTATGAAAATTGTATACTGCGGGGGGGGGGACAGTTCTATATCTCCCGTTCTACTAAGCCGATTGACGAAATTCAGATGGCATTTTTAATGTCTCGAAAACGCGACTTAGCATATGTATTAGAACATAACATTGTTCTAATATAGGTATTTTGACACAAAATCAGACTTTTTCTAAAATGGCATGTCAATTTGTTTCCATACTTCGATTCTACGATTCAAATTATGGCAAACTGCAAATCATTTTGCAGTTGATTTACATTATTGATTTTAATTATAATGCTGCATGTGTACATGTTTGTAATAGACTGAATGCACAGGTCCGATAAAAGGTTAATAAAATTATGGCACACTGCAAGTTTTTTAAAAATAGCATGAGTATTTTTTAAAAAATTAGCTCTTCAATGTTATGAATTTATAATATCTCTTTTTTTATTAAACTTACTTGATTCCTTCCACCAGAATTCAAAATTTAGGTTCATTCTAAATAAAATTTACCCATTTTAATGACTTATTTTTAAAATTTGCATTTCTAAATAATTTTCTGAAAAAAAAATTTGAATTATAACCTGTAAAAGTTTTGCCATTGTCTTAAAGAAGCTGTATTACTAAGTATACCTGCAATGAATTACAGTTTTTTATTCAAAATTTCCTATGATATACGTGAATATACATATTGTCACGTTCTGAAATTTGGCATATTTGCTTTGAGTGATAATAACGCCAAATGTGGTTTACGCACTCTGTTAAAATTATTTTAAATAATAAATTATGACCTTTTTTCCCACTTGTTTACAATGAAAAAAAGGAAAGGAAAATAGGTTGCTATAAATTAAGAAGTTTGCTGAGTGAATTATTCTTGACGTGAATTATTCGTGCTTTTGAGACATGAAAAACGAAAATCTAATTTCGTCAATCAGCCCAGTAGAACGAGAGATATAGAACTGTCTCCCCTTTTTTCGCAATGTGCATTATATATATACAGACTATTAATGAAAATTAGCTACATGCTTTTTCCCTTAAATATTGATCCTAAATAACTATTTGTAATTTTGAATTTATCAAATAAGGTAGAGAATTTTACAAAAAGAGTTTCAACAGAAGGCATAAAATGGTTCAAAAAATAAATTTAATTTTTATACGATCTTCATATAAGTGGAGAAATCATGTAATTAAAATATTCATTAAATGCTACCAAATTAAATAAATGTACAAAGTTTTCAAAGCACGAAATTCAGAGAGATATGGATAATCAGCATTTTCTTCAGACCACTAAGCTAGTGTTCTTTTACTCAATGCAAAACTATTAACAGCTAACACCGCTACATTTGTTTAGTAGTTATTTCGTTCAAAGAAAACTATAACCAAGAATATGCATTGAAAAGTGATCTAGATCAACTTCCCCCCTCCCAACAGCTTTGCAAATTTTGCATGTAAACGTAAAGCAGCTTTTCACATTTAATTTACAAAAATATTGTGAAATTTTACTAACTGCCATTTTACTCTACAAAAGGTAAATAAAAAATAAATTTCGCGTTTTTGAAAGCTATTCACATTCATTGCAGAAATTGTTCTCAGAAACTTCTTTACCTTATTTTGGAGAAATTTTGCCAAATATTTAAGGTTAAGTTAGGTTAATTGATAAGACAATGTATAAGACGGCTACCTGCCTAAATATTTGGAAGGAAACTGGTTCATAGCTTGCACATGGGAACCAGAAAAACGCGAAGGTTTCACTTATTTACCAGCTCCTGTAAACAAATATTTCAGGAACAAATAGGAGATAAGAATAAGACGGCTACCTCAAAAATGAAGGAAAACTTCATATTTTTGCACAATACATACCCCGCAGATAACCTGTTTTCACTTGAGATGCATTACCACATCCAGCTACTGGTAAACAAATATTTCAGGAAACAAAGCATTAAGAACCTTTTTCAAACACTCTGATATTTTGCACATCTCTATATACACAAGAATACGAAAACTGCTAGGATATGTAAAGCATCTGAAATCTTCAATAATCTCTGAAGAAATAAATGTTAAATTCTGTTTTCATCTAAAAATATAATTTACAGGTTACAAAGAAAGGAGTGAACACAAAATATGAAAAAAGTATATTTAGTTTTTTATTAACAGAGATAACATTAAAATATTAGTAAAAAAACTTCACAAAATTTAGAACAACAAATGAGCAGTTTAAATTTACACATATGCATAGATGAAAAGCAATTGACATAAGGATAAAACTTCATTTGAAAGCCTGCGTATAAGCACAAAAAATATCAAGGCACTTAAAACAGCTTACATGACATATATCATACTGACATCTTATAAAGTTATTTTGTTCAATATTAACAAATTTATTTAAATGATTTTCTCCTGTGTTACACAAACACTTGGAGAAACAGCATTAAGAATACATAATTATCATTTCAATATTTTCTTTCAAATTAATAAGAAGTATTGTATCCATGAATTCATAACTGGTGGAGTGTTCCATATGTACAAGATATAACTTTTCACATAGTCTCTATGTAAGTAAAAAGTACACTTTATAAAATTTCCATATTTTTTTTTTTTTTTTTTTCAAATATAAAATGTTCCTAACTTTATGGGCAAAATTCATGAAGAACAAGTTATTCAGTTTTATGAGCATAGTTAAAAAGTTATAAATAAGTGTTAAAAGTATTTTGTATTAAATATAATAAATACAGAACAATTAATTGCCCAAACAAACAACTTTTCGTAGTTTTTCCCTAAATTTCGTTATACTCTACTTAAAAGCAATAGATATTTAGTAGTTAACATTTTATTCATAAGAAAATTTGCTTCATGCGAAGAACATACAAAGTTAAACTCTGTATTTAAAGAATCCTCCCACCCAATGCTGGAATACTTTTCATAAAATTCTTTATCTTAATTTGAGGAACTCTAAATTCTGTATTGAAGAAACAGCAAAATAAAGAATGGAAGGAAGAGATTTTGCTTCTTCCTAATTTTGGAAACTTTAGGCAAAATTACAAGATATTATTTGCTTTACTATTATGAAAATTACCTTTTAAATCTACTTAGTTTCATTTCCTGAAATTTTTATTTCAAATTTAAATACTTTTGCTTTGCAACAGTTATTAAGCAGGTTTATCATTTCTTGGAGGCATAATAATTTACTAAATTACTTTTCTAATTATTAATTTACCAAACTGCTTTTCCTGTTTCTAATATTTTACTGTTTACAAGATTCATACACATCGACATTAAGTACACATATCCACATGGAAATTACAGTATTTGCCGGCGTATAAGACACACTTTTTTCATTGAAAATAGGTCTAAAAAACCGAGTGCGTCTTATACGTCGATACTCAGTTTTTGATTAGATTAGTTTCTGGAAATTTCCTCTATTTGGAGTTACGAAATTTTTTTCTTGTTTCCTTGCAGAGTGTGGAAATATTACAGTTATGTAGAGCTCAGTGAATGCACATGTGCTGTCATCGACGATCACAGCTGGGTTCATTTTAACTTCCCAATTTTTGTGAACGACTTTTAAGTGTGTGAAATTTCTACTGTTCAGTTTTCTTAAATTTGTTGACATATTATGGCTCAAAAACAATGTTGGCATTGCTATAACATAGCATACAAGCTATGCGTGATTGTGTATGCTAAAAAACATGGAAACAGAGTTGCAGAGAGGCATTGAGCCACCCTCAACTGAGAAAATCATAAGAACTTGGAGGAATTATAATGCTTAGTAATAAAGTTTTATCCTTCAAAAATGCGTATTAAAAAGGGAATGTGTCTTATAGGATGATGCGTCTTATACGCCGGCAAATACGGTTAGTACTTTTAAGGACTTTACGGACCACAAATGAAAAAAAATTAAGGAGCTATCAAGCAAATAGGAACTAAAACTAAAGCAATTATCTACACCTAAACTTTACTTTTGTAATTTGTAAGAATAAAATATATCTGTAAATAGAATGGATTATTATTAAATAATTGTGTTAGTATTAGATTACTAATACTTACACAACAAATTCTAGAATAAAATTAATTTCATATAAGTTTTCAACTAATTAACATTAAGCTGTAAAATCTCTTGAAACATTTATATTTTACATTTATAATAGATCCCACACATTTCAAAGAAGATTAATGGCTTATCATTTAAAGCTTACTAAGAGTCAGCTTTACACTGATTCTTTCTTTTATGCCTCATTTTGCAACAGTCGCTCAGTCCAGAGGTATATGCAAATTTCATATCAAGTGGTTGCAAGTGTTGAAAGTTAGCTGCACTTTGTCTAACCCAGTTAGTGTTATAGTTTCATGTAGATTATTTGCTTTAGTTATAACCCAGTTAATAGACAATATTTAATATAAAGTTTCGATAAGCCACTGAAGCACCAGAGATCATAGGTTGTTTTGTATTAAGTCTCCTTAGCTGTAAGGAATAAAGTTTTATGTTAATTTTTATATTTTGGTGTTGTATCTTGCTTTTACGATAAGGATTAAGGAAAGGAGATAACTCATCTTAATATGCAGCGATAATATTTAAGGGCGAGCAGTTAGTTACAAATAATCAAATTATGCAGTTGGATACCCTTACTCATAATAGATTTACATGGTTAGAATAACATATATATATATTTTTTAATTTCTAAAATATATCCATGAAAAAAGCACTACGAATATTTTACAGCAGTTATAATTTATGATTTTGATTCTAAAATATTAGCATAACTAAATTAAAAACTGAAAAACAATTATGTATTTTACAAAGTAATTATGTTTTGTAGCAACATAATATAACTGTATAATGTACATTAGTATAACTATACATTAAAAAATACAAAACATTATTGTAGCAACAATAAATAACAAAACATTTATGTGTCTTTTTAATTTGAAAATTTTCCTGATACATTAGCTAATTTACACGAGTTTCCTTCTCTTTAGCATCTTTTCTAAGTTTATTTGTTGCAATAAACAAATAAATATTCCCACTAGTCACAAAAAATTTGTTAATTTTTAACAATGCACCTTTGAAGAATAATTTTCTCCTTTATAAAATCAATTTCTTTTTCAATGAATTTCTTCTTCATTTCAGAATTTTCATATTTAATTAAAGATTCTTAGAATGCACAGAAGAAATTGCTTATTTTATTTCTTTAATAATATGAGCATTGAGAATAAACATGTATTGATATAAGATTTTTAATTATCCCTTGATTCTATATAAATACATATTGATTAATTAGAAAGAGTATCTTCTCAGAAAAAGTAGAGTAAAAATTTTTTTGTAATTTGAAAACTATTTCAACACATTTAAGTTATTGTTCAATTAAAACACATTAAAAAATATAATAATTTTTAAAAAATTAATTGTGCTAATTATTGCTTTTTCCATGAAAAAAGGCTGACTTTTCAAAGAGTATTAGCCTTTTTCAAAATAATTATCAACAATTAAGGAAACTGAATCATATTTCGTCTTCCTAGTCTACTTAAGTGAAAATCTGAATTAAGATTTAAACTCAATTAATTCATGTCAGTTTTATTCCCAAGCAGATGAGGAAAATAATGTATACATGTGCATGTATGTATGACATCAACTTTTTCAATGTAATAAAAAATAAATTTTAAATCACTTAAAATGCATATCATAATGACAGAATTTAAAACAAGCAATTATCAAAATGAAAAACTCTATGCCTCATAACATAACATATTTTGATGTACCATGATAACATGGCTTTTCAAATGTTCTTTCCGTCTAAACTTTTTCATGCATATATTACACTGATATGGCTTTTCTCCTGTATGAATTAGCATATGTCGCCGTACATGATGAACATTTTTAGAGAAATAATTACAAACTGTACAATGATGCAGTTGATTAGAACTTTTTACATAATTCTCCAGTTGAAATGATGCTTGGTTAGTGAAAGTTATTCCTAGGGAAAATAATTTAGCAATTAAAAATATACAAAAAGAAAAATAAAAATTTTCAAAATTATTATATAAAAATCACATATACAAAACTGTTTGAGATTAACAGAATTTTAGAAACAATTATCTGCTTTTTGCCAAACTGAGGGACACTGAAAATAAAATTTCGCATATTACAGAAAACTAACATTTGAAATAAAAAATAAAATACTACATTTTCAAAAGCATTTAAATAATGTTAAATTTTTAAAATTATAATATATGCTAGAAATAATAGAATAAAACAGTTTCACATACTTTATTTTCAAGTAAAATATAGCAAACTTAATCGCAGCAAGTATAGATACAATGTAACAAGTACAATATACATCTTTAGCAAGCCAAATGCCATGGATATGAATTTAGGCACATTTTCATAATAAACATTTTTATATGTAATAGGATTGACAACAAATATACACCATAGATATTTTGATAATACGATCAACGCGCAAGTGATAAATTTGATGAATATACCAGATCACTTTACAAGATTAAGATTTAATGTAAACAAAATTGTAATTACAAACTGAGCTAACACAGAAGAATAATTTACCAATAACTACAGCTATGTAAATGATACCAATAAATTTCAATGATTTCACAATAACTTGTTAATTTCTGATAAAAAGTTACTAGCTTAAGATATAATGACGATGTTTCTAAATCTTTTGAAAGTAACGGAGGCAGTAATTTCATAAGGATATATCAATTACTATCCCTGAGAAATATTAGAGTGAAAATTTTAAACAAATACATATTTTATGATTCCTTAAAGGAAAAGAGAATGTGAAATCTTATTTATCATTAATAAGCTATGCTTTAACAAACAAGAAATGTAGAAAATGTATGATTAAGTTCCTGGTTTTAAAAATTACAGTAAAATTATATTTAGCATCATATTAATTATAAGTATACTAGGTCACATTATTATTCTTTTTACCTCTACTGTTTATTTTTCTTTTGAATCCATGATTTCCCATGGACAATCAGAGTTTAAAAAAATGGCAGATTTATACAATTGCTGACTATAATGACGAAGTAGGTCTACTTGTGCTTATAATAATCATGCTTGATTGCTTATACATGTAATTTTTACTGCAAAAATTAAGATACATTAAGCAAAAGAAGTTCCTAAGCAAGGAACAATAATGACATATATCATAAACATGGAGGCCAATGTTCCAGGTTAAATGCATATAATATATATAAAACATATAATATAAGCAACCTGTTTATTACAATGAAATAGATATGTAGCTTTGATTACATGAATTTATAATTTTAATAATTTATTTGTAATTAGATAATAAATATGCATTAACAAATAAACAATATACTGATGTTTTTATGATATATCTGGGGGGGACACTTCCAATAAAGGTTAAAAAAACATAGACATAATTTTTAAGTAATAAAAATTGTTTAATCTGTTAAAAGACTGTATTACCTAATCTATTTTATTTAACTTTTGATTAATAAGGAAAAACTAGGAGAAAAATATAAATGTATATAAACAGTTGTGAATATGCAGATATATCTGAAATATTCTCAAATTCTTTTGGAATGCATTTATGCACATGTAGTCTATAAAAAAGCTTCAACAATGATAACTCTTTTGTAATATGGAGTAAAGCAACCTATTTCAATCATCTGCATATGATATTAACATCATAAGTATTCTCTAAGTTGGGCTTACATGCCAGGTTTGCTAAATAAAATGTTCTTGGTATTTAAAGAAATGTTCTTAAGTATAATGGTATAAGCATTAGAAAATAAATTATTTTTAATGAATAAGGAAAAGTACTATCCACTAATTACTGTCTATCCTATGGCAGCATGCAAGACAGAAACAGCAATTATACAGTTAGGCATCATCAAATGTAACTATTTTAGCTGATTCATAATTCCGTACAAAAACATAACACATTAATTACAACTGAGCATCAAAATAATATGAACTGTTTTACTAAAAATAAAAATATCTTTTTGAAATGCAAAATAAATAAACCGGAGAAGAGGGAAAACAAACTTGGGAAGGGGGAAGTATTTTTCAGACTGCAGTTATATGTATATTAATTGTATATATACTTTTTTAAATGAAGCTACATAAAATATATTACAGATCTTTTGCTGCAATATGACTGTTGTGCTTATTATAAACATGAAACTGCAAATGCACTTTGCGTCTAAATTTATCACTACATATTTTACACTGATAAGGTCGTTCCCCTGTGTGAAGAAATACATGATGACGGTTCGGTGGATAGAAGAATATTTACAAAACTGACAGTTGTAGAAAGTATGTCCCTTTTTTTTTTTTTTTTTTTTTTTTTTTTTTTTTTATTTGGTTTTATATAGACCTTGACCTGCATCCACCTTCTGACATTTTTATGCCTTAAAAAAAAAAAAAAAAAAAAAAAAAAATAACATGTGAGAATTCCTGCTTCCAAACAAAGTTATAAAATGAATTTTAAAACTTAGCACTTTAAATCAAAGAATTCAGCAAATGACATTATTATAGTAATCATGACTTGAATTACGCAGCGTTTTTAAAAAATATATGTGTGTGTATATGTAAAAAATGCAAAATAAATTAGAAAAATACATTAAACATTCATAGCATATTCAATGCGAAATAAATCAGATGCAAAAACCAAATTAACCAGAAACACAATGGCAAGAACTAGAAGGTAAAATATACCAAAACCAAAAATAAAATAAGAAATTGACATCTTTTGCTGCATTCTCACCAGAGGGTTGATGCAACAAAAGAAGTAAATTAACAAAACAGTCTGTTTCTGAACCAGCAAAGTTTAAAATTTAAAATAACCTTAGAAAAACAATACAAGTAATCTGTATTTCCATTTTTTAAAACAGACCCATTTTGCTTTTTCATTCGATTTGCTATGCTATGGATCTATCCATTTTGCTTTTCAATTAAGAATGTTTTTATATTACTTTTTAAATATTGTTACAAAATATCCAGCTGCCATAAGATAGCTTCCAAGCAGGTTTGGGGTTGCCAGAAATGGAAAATAAGGAAGGCAGGGTTTCCAGATTTGGCATGAAATCGCCCATTTGGCAACATGCCAGCGATTCTCAACCAGTGGTATGCAAAGAAACAGAGTATTTTTAACTATTAAATTCAAAAATCTCATGGGAAAAAAAATAACAGTCGATAAAAATTTCCTGTGATCAAACTCTAACTGAAGATTTCAAAAATAACACACTTGTTAACTTTTGGCTGAATCAAGAAAAAGAATTTAAAGGCATCTCAAATAGAGCTATTAAATTTTTGCTGCATTTTTGCACAACCTAATTGTGTGAACAACAATTTTCTTCCGTGTTATATTTGAAAAATAATTACAGAATAAAATTAAAACTGGATTCTAATTTATGGTTAGAATGAAGCTAAATTTTAGATAAAGTATTATAACTTAAATTTTGGTAACTGAAATTGTAACCAATTTTCAATTTAACATTTTTTATGTGTGCACACTTAATACGAATAACACATAGGTTAAAATTTTAGAATTAAAGTATTATAGCTTAAATTTTGGTAACTGAAATGGTACAATTTTCAATCTAGTATTCTTTACATGTGCTTACTTAATACAAATAGCCAATAGGCTGTGCAAATGGGAAAATATTTTTTTTTAATATTTTTATTGAGAAACTGAAAAATAATCACTGTAAAATGTAATGGTGATACTAAGGTTTTTCAATTTTTGTTTAGATGGTACGCATTAATTAAAAGGTTGAGAACTGCTGCCATATACGGATGGAGAACCTTCTAGAACGAATTCTTATTGTTTTGGCCCAGAATGTTCTTGAAAGCAGCCAAAAAGCTATACAAACCCTGTCTGTATGCAGAGTAGCAGTCAATCGCGAATCTAGCGTCGAGGTGTCTCATCAGTGTATCGCGAATTGGTGCATCGTCGAGTTGTAGCATGAGAGACTCGAAAGTTATGTTGAGTTCCGAGAATGACCAAACCAAGTCAGGAGCTGTATGTACTCTAGTGCTTTGCCATGAAGCTCTCTTCCCCGTTATAGCCTGGAGGCTGTGATGCTGATTGTTTCAGCGTGTTTGTCGTAGTTTTTCAACAACTGTAAATGTGTCTTTGGAACTCTCCTGTGAAATACTGCTAGTAAATTGTGTTTTCATTCTTCATCAAATGTTGCCATTAATCACTCCAAATTCACGAACCCATAGAAATATTTGCAATTTACTTGTCAAAGCCAAGGATATGTCAGGGTAGTTTCATAATACCTTGAGATATAAAGAAACACTATTTAACATTTTTGAATAATTTGTTACAAGCGGTTTGGATCTTAAAGTGGCACGAAGAACGAAATGTGTGTTCTGCACTCATTAATTATGCAGGTTTAATGTTTTAAATAATTATCCCTTGAAAAGTTCCATTTGAAGCATTAAGCAGAGAATAGTTAATAATCTTTATTTGTTTTTCCTATTGTATTACTTGACACTGTAAAATAATTTTATTCCATTTCCATTTTCAAATCAAATGTGCCAAAAATTCTTCCCGCTTTTATAACAATAATAATATAAAATAAAATGCATTTTCATTTTGCCTAGCAAAAATTTTAATGCCCTATGTAATTTTTTCCTAAGATACGATAATCTTTTTTTAAAAAAATTGTTAAAAATAGTTTTTAATTCTCTCTCTCTCTATATATATACACACACACACATAACACACATCTACAACTTCTTAAAACAATTCTATAAATTTTCTACAGCCAAAGTGAATATAAATTTGAACAATTAAATAAAAAATAACAAAGTATCCAAATAAGATCAAATTAGAGCTGAGCAAATACATTTCACCAATTACAACTTTGTACGATCAGATAAACTGCTAATTTTTTTAGCTTGTTTGATAACATTAAATGCAAACAGCTTATATTATCTTTAGCACAAAGTCTCAAAAGACCATATTTCACTGGCCTGCCAGATAAAATATGATAAAACGGAATTTAGAGTGAACATAAGCTAAAGAGGCTTATCTTTATAATAGGTACTGAAAACAAGTTATATAAATGAAAGTTAAAAGGTAATATAAGAAGAACACACAGTTTATTTCAACACAGAAATGATTCTGAACATTTAATTTGACAACAAACTGAACAACGTATATTCATATATATTTTTGCTTATAATTATCACATATGCTTAATTTTTTAAAAAGGATATAAAATTTTTACTTTAAAAACAATACATGGTTAAAAATATTATGGATTTGTCTTTTTAAAATATCATATACTTTAAATTAATTCCCAATCCAACTCAGAATCACACACATAGAGAGGAGAGGAAGACTTCCAGAAGATTAAGCACTATTTTAATTAAGATTTATTAAGATTAAAGAATTTTTAAGCTTAAAAATACGTAACCAGTAATGCCTGCAAGAATTTATCTAATTATAGATAGGCTGGCTGTTCAAAATTCTAAAAAAATGTTGGTTTGTGCATTAGCACTGAAGGCGTAATGAGTAAGTTTCTTCAGGCGCAGTTTTCATTAAAGAATCATAAGTCAAAAAATTAACTACGAAATCTTTATTTAATAAAATAAGAGAATTTTGCTTAACTTAAGCATAACAAAAAGTAATAATCTTCACAGACATTAAAAAACTGAATTATCGAAAAGGAGATAACTTACATACAAATATAAGTCATACATCTTCAAGCATACATATTATTTAGGCAATAAGAAAAAAACAGGAACATACTTTGACACTGTACCTGAAAAGAGAAAGTACTAACTGAATTAGACCTTTGGCCATAATATAAGTAGCTAAGGTGAAATCATAATTACCTGTATAAGACAAAAACTGTAATTTAAGATAATTTCCAAAATTCTTTTTTCAGCAAATTTATATTAAAGTATTAAAGACTTTTCCCTTCACATTATCTCATGTGAACTGTGTTAAACTATTAGTAAGGAGTTATTTGTCCTACAGTTGTAATGCATTTTTATTAAGCCTCTGAGTGGCACAGGATTGTAGATTTGTCATGAAGACCAGTATTTAAACAGCATTTATTAATTTAGTTTGTATAATTACTTATTTTAGTCTGCATTTTCATAAACTTACATTCATTAAGATGATATTTACATTATTAAAGAAAGTAAGAAAGCAAAATATCTTAAATTATAAGCTAATATATACCAAGTAGCAAAACTTCTGATGACCGGATAAACCCGGTTCTAATGCTCAGAGGTTTTATATGATTAAAATTTCCAAAATACATTAAATTTTCTTAAAAAATTTACATAGAAATATTACAGCCTTTATCATGGCATTTCACTTAGACTGAGACAGTAACAACAAAAAACATTGATAACTCAGTGTGTCTATCTTTTTTCCAACATCCATAAAGCAACAATAAACAAATATTACTTTGTGAAATGTAAACAATCAAAGAACTAAAAAGAAAACATTGCCATATAGCTCAAATAGGCTTTTATATCTAACCATTAAAATTTTCAAAAACATTAACTTACCCAAGCTGTATTTATTAACATAATAATCTAAAAATATTACATATCATTCAAAAATAGTTTTGAAAGCCAAAATGCTTTCCCAGTGTTTATTTCAATAGCTATTACATTTTTTTTGTTATTTTTTACACACTATTATTTCATGTGAATTTTGGTATAATAATTATAACTGAAAAAAGAGAGGTGAGAAGTAGCATCTTCATAAGATAAAAGCATTATACACTTACTTCTCTAAGAAACAGCAGCAAAAAATATTTGCCAAATTCTTTCAAATATTCTATGCACAGAAATATACTAATAAATTTAAATTACATTATAATAAGGCTTGCAAAAACTTATGGGAATTAAACATTTAAAGTAAAAAAATTAATTAGTCAATTCTAAATTAATTTAAATAAAACACTGGCAGAAATAACCACATGCCAAAATAGTAATAACCAAATTAGTACATATGTATATACTAATAAAATATCAACCTGCTTTAATTCATCAATAATAATAAGGGGAGGAAAATGATTAGATCTTTTTTATTCATAACACAGTGAAAGAAAGTCACAATAATGAAAATAGTAAAATAAATTATGTAATCAATGAAGGAAAAGTCACAAAAATTCTATACACCTATAAAAAAAGAGAAAGAAAAGAAGAAGAAACCACTTAAATTCTTACACAAAAATTTAAACTATTTGTACACATATACATTAACGAATCACTCATGCAGTTAGATAGTTTTAATGTTTTTTAAAAAAGTATTTATTTACCAAATTATATAGTTCCAAAAAGTTAATTAATAATTTTTAGTGAAAAATATCCATTATATACAACAAAATATTAAATGGTAAATGTGGAAAACATACAAAAATTTTCTATATAATTCAAAGGAGAAAGGAGTGTTAAAACATATCTACTTTACCAAATAAAAGCACAGAATCAAACATAATATATCAAAACATTTTATGCGTTTATATTTCAATACAATAATACAACAGATATAAACAAATAATGAGATACTAATTCAGAAGTCAAACAACAAAAATCAGCGTTTTCAAATTTTTACAGGACTAGTTTCGATGGTTTTCCAACCACCATCCTCAGCTGCAAAAGCCCAAATGAACGAGATAGGACAAAATGATTAGATAAGATAAGAAAGATTGGACAAGAGATAAACTAGTGGCGCCATCTGTTGATGAAACCAGAAATAAAACAAAATTTCTTTAAAGGCCGAAGGCAAAGATGGAATGGAATCAGGATCGTTAACTAAAACAGAAAGATTTTTTTGAAAAATTAAGTTCTCCAATGGACATGTCCATTCGAGAACTTGATTTTCTGGAGGCATTTCACACTCGTTCACATTAGGATCGTTAACTAGAAGAGAAAGATTTTTTTAAATATGAAATACCTCCAGAAAATCAAGTCCTCCAGATTTTTCAAAAAAATCTTTCTGTTCTAGTTAATGATCCTGATTCCAATACATCTTTGCCTTCGGCCTTTACAGAAATTATGTTTTAGTTCTGGTTTTATCAACAGATGGCGCCACTAGCTTATCTCTTGTCCAGGCTTTCTTATTTTATCTAATCATTTTGTACTATCTCGTTCATTTGTGCTTTTGCAGCTGAGTATGGTGGTTTGGTAAAACCATCGAACCTAGTCCTGTGAAAATTTGAAAACACTGATTTTTGTTGTTGGACTTCTGAATTAGTATTTGTTCGGTGTGTTATTGTGTCTTAAATAATGAGATATTTCTATGTATGGGAGCAAGGACAAAAGAAAACAAAAAATTCTGAAACAAATCTTCAAAACAATGCCCCTCTTCTTCCTTTGCCTTTTATTAAATGTTGTTACCTTGCCTAGTCAAAAAATGATTAAAATAATTAACAATTTTTACACAAAGGCTGTCCTAATCAATCGAGTGGTTTATGAAGCTGGCTGCCATATCACCAGGCCTATAGTCAAAGCCAAAAGAAGGCTTGGATGTTGGTGTGTGAGTAGACTGTAAAACATAAGGGCACTTAAAAGGTACTGGTGAGTAAAAGTAATTGTGAGTCAAAAGCTCCCTCAAGAGACTTGGAGACAGGAAAAATGGGGTGGAAGACCTCTTATGCTTTCTTGGGGTTCCTCCATAAAAACTCAATAGAAGCCTCCCCTTTCTCATGGGTGTCAGCTAACACCCATGGGTCACTTCTTTGTATCATCCACTGTTTGAAATTGGGTTAAGTTTCCAAAATGTGAGATGCCTACAGCACCCATGATGCTATTGAATCAGAATATCAGTTCCAAGAACTGTTTTATCCAGAAATTAATTATGTGGTCCCTATGGCTACATTTGTCTGCAAGTTTCATCCTTCTATTACATAATTATGCCAATACCATCTATAACCATCTGCTGTGATTAAAAAGCATTCATGTCTTTTCTCTCTGCATTATCCACAATAAGAGGCATCCAGAATCTCAAATTAATATGCTACAAGAGAGTTTATCATCACCAAAATCGACTAAGCTAGTAACAATTTCAGTGCCATATGAAAAAAATTTTATTACGACTTTATGCATAAGGAGTTACATAGCACTTGCACCTATCAACAAGTCTCTAGCAGCACTAAAATACTTTTCAATAAAGTGCTTCATAAAAGGCTTAAAATCCATCCCAACAAATTTAATAACAGAATTGCAAATTTCTATGCACTTCCAAAGTTTCATAAAAAACCAGTTAAATTCAGATACATAGCTAACAGTACCAGAAGTTATTTACAGGAAATAGATTAAACTTCCACTCATTCGAGATGTTATCAATAATTCTGATTTTAAAGGTCAACATTGCAACTGGATGATTTCATGCAACGAACAAATTTTTAAGACTTTAAATTCACTTAAAATAGAACATACCCAATGCTACAATTTTGAGAACCTTTATACTACTTTACCACTTGAAGAAATTGATAGTAGCTTGTTTACTCTCCCTAATTTATTTCCAAAGATCACTACAATATTACCAACTGAAGATTGGCAACTTTTGCTTACAAGTGTACTTTTTAACAATTATATTCAATTTAATAACATCTTTAAACAAATACAAGGTATATCTATGGGCGGCAACTTTTCAAATGCAATCTGTGAATTATTCCTATTCACACAAGAATTTATTTTTGTACGTCCACTTAAAATTGAAGATAAAAAATATTACCAACAGATATTTCGTTATACAGACGATGTAATTGCCTTGAACAATTTCAACAAAATTGAAAAAGCAAATATTTACCCATCTTGCCTCAAGCTAAATACCACTAATACAGTTCAAAATATGTAGTTTACCTTGATTTACATATTCTGAATTACAATCTTTTAAAAATATACGATAAACGCAGAGATTTCAACTTTCCTACACTAAAATTAACTAACTGGAATTCTAATATTTCTAAAAGGGTCATTGTCAATACAATTAATGCACAACTTCTTAGAATTAAAAAAATTTGTAATACTACAAAACACCTCCAAGAAGAAGTTCTCTACTTTGTTAATATCTTACAATGCAACCTTATTCCAAATACAGTCATTAAAAAAAGCTGGCATTTACCTATTCTTTTAGACTTTTTGAGTTAGATAATGAAATTTTTTACTTAATCCCATTGGGAAGGTAGTTAATGGATGGCTAATTCAAATGATCTAATGTAACAATGTAAAGTTAATTCCTCTCGCAACTTCAATTTTACTCTCCACGTTTGGCTCAGTACTTTAAATTCTATTCTTGAATAGATGTTTAAGCTTTTGCTGGCCATACCTTTCCTTTTACTGATTTTATGGGCCTTTTTTATTTTTAGTAGCTTAAAAGCCCTCTAGCTTGAAGAATTACAATTTTAATTAACAATTTACTGTATTTTTCCAATTTCTTGGCCAATTTTTACCATTTATTGGAATTAGCCATTTTGAATTTCACCTCATCCCAACTTTATGGAATTTGCATCAAGCAAGATGCCATCTTGAACAAATTTCTTCCTTCTTCAACTGTTAACCACCCCCTCATTCTGAGTCAGGTTGTGCCAACAGTCTGTCACTTTTAATTGGCTGTTGCTTCATGACCTTTATTTCCCCTTTTACGTCATTACACCTTGTTGGTGAGCTTCTTTTTTATCTTTTCTGGAGGCATATGTCCATTTTTAAAGCATCGCTCTTCACAGTTGTTGTCGTTGAGCAAGGTCTGTTTTCAAAATTTTTTCTTTCCCTTGTTTTAATTTTTGGTCATAGCAAGACCCAAATTAATTCACTTTTAGTTTTAATTTTTAAGTTTTTACTTAGTTTACTAAGTTTAAACTCTTTAAGCTAGTAGGTCCTCTCTAAAAATCTTGTATTTTTGACTAATAGCAATTCGCTATTTATTTTATTTTGTACATTTGCCTAACCAGGCCAGTTTGTATAATTTTTCCTTACACCATTAATGTGTTTACCATTTACTTTTAACAAGCGGATGCGTCGGGAAATGAAACAGAAAAATTGAGACTAAAGTTTTTATCTAGGTTATTTTATCAGTTAAATAATCAAAAAGTTTCATGTACAGTCTTGATTCTTCTGATTTGATGACACATAATATGGAATTCGCTGGAATCGAAAATCATTATGCATTTCCCCTGAAGAGTCCACGATGAGATTAAAATTAGGCTAATTTACCATTTACCGCTTTTTGTAATTTTGCTTATGTCTTATATAACTTTTGTATTTCTATTCAAATGTTTTAAGATAGTTTTAACTTTAATCAACATATTACTTCCAATTTGATTTAAGTTTTAAATTCACTTTTTATTTTTTAGTACTCTCATGACAATTTCATTTATCTTGTTTTTACACTTTTCATTGAACTTTATTTTAACTTGTGTTAAAATTATTCACCGGAACCACAATATCACACCGACTTTTCAGCAAAAGCATGTAGAATATTCTTTTTACCTTGTTTTCTAATTTTTGCAGCTCAATGTGCAAAAATCCTTGACCACAAAGGTCTTTTTTTGTTTGTTCTCCTTTCTTAAATTATATATATATATACATTAAAAGCTTGGAAAATACAGGACAAGAAAATTCTATAGTAGAGCATACAAAAAATACGATTCATGGTAGAAAAGCCAAATGAATGGAATTAATAGTCTACAATTATTGAAGCTATCAACATATTTCTTATCAACTTGGATATTAAAAGCCTAACTTTAAAATAACATGATTTAAAAAATGAATTTTACACATTAATATTGTGTAGGGCTCAATCAGATGAAAGTAAAACATCTTACCAGATAATGAAATGCCATCAACCATGAAAATTGTCAAATATGTTGCAAAACTTGCACCAGTCACTCCAGCAAAGGTAGAACAGAAAAGATCATTCTTTATTCAATTAAATAATCAACAGATACAAGTTAGATATACATCACATAAAAAAACTTAAATTGCTTATCATAAGTTTTTCCGCATTTTTTTTTTTTTTTTTTTTTTTTTTTTTTTTTTTTTTTTTTTTTTTTTTTTTTTTTTTTTTTTTTTTTTTTTTTTTTTTTTTTTTTTTTTTTTTTTTTTTTTTTTTTTTTTTTTTGTTTTTTTTTTTTTTTTTTTTTTTTTTTTTTTTTTTTGTTTTTTTTTTTTTTTTTTTTTTTTTTTTTTTTGTTTTCTTTTTTTTTTTTTTTTTTTTTTTTTTTTTCTATTTTTAAACACAGTTGCCTGTTGTACCCACAAACCACCTAATAAAAACAATTTTTTCCATACTAGGATTCAGCAACTTTGAAAGCACTCCACTACATCTGCTCCACTAAAATTCTAACTTTTTTTTTTTTTTTTTTTTTTTTTTTTTTTTTTTTTCAAAATTTGAGTGCAAAACAGATAAATAGCAGTTAACTTAAAAACAAAACTGAATTGAGAATTAATAAGCTTTACATAAAACAAAAAGTGAAGATCTTACGATTGTCCTATGACATCATACTTATTTAATATTGGCATTAAATAATACTATTCAGCATCAGTGTCCTATACATGATTTATAATGGCTTTATAAGTTTGCTTAAATTTTCAGGGGGTTCAGAGATTCTTAAAATATTCCAGTTACTTGAACAGTAGATAGCTGAGCTTTAACTGTATAAATACTGCACAACTATTGTTATAATAGCCATGTCTAGCTGAGTAAATTCAATTTAGTCCTGCATCTATTATACTGGTCAGTGATATGCCTAAAGTCAAATTGGAACAAAGTAATTAACCTGATCCTCAGGTCACAGCTAACGGTGCTGCTATTTCAAGAAGCTTCTGAAGGAAGACGAAAGGGGACAAAGATTCTCTTTCTCAGAACTAAAATAAATATTCACCTATATTTATATTCCTTAAAAATTTATCTCAGAACGATTTTGAATACACATGGCATATTTGTAACAATTTAACATTTGAATAATATAAAACAGATCACGAAATATTTTTATTTAAAATATTCAGTATTTGTTAATTTATTTAATTTTTCACAATTCCTCTTAGTCTTGCTGGAATTTTTAATTTTAGAAATTGAGGCCTAAATTACAGTTTCTTTTAATGGGAAAATAAAATTATTTAATTACTAATAGAAATATTGAAAGACCTTATTTTAAGATACAATTGTTTGAATATTCAATTGCTCTTAAAAACCATGATATGAATTTCAATAAATATGTTAAATTTACACTGTTAGTAAATGTTGTATGAAGAAATTTATAATAGCATTTCATAAACAGCAAATCAGGTCAAGAATTTTCTTGCTGTTAATTTGAAAGAGACAGCAAATTTAAAATTTCTCTTCAAGGCACAAAATTTAGATTATGTTTCATTACAATATGACTTTTCAAATGCTCCTTTTGCCTAAAAGATTTATTACATACTATGCATTTAAATGGCCTTTGTCCAGTATGAATCAACATATGACGACGGACATGAGTTAGATATCTAGTAGTGTATTTACAAAACATGCAAGTATATATGGTGATTCCCATTGCTGTTTTTTCAGTTCCATAAAAAATAAACTGTTCATCTGCTCTGATATTTCTCATACCTATAAAAGAAAAACCAAGCGTTAAGAAGCTGAAAAAATTTATTTTCCTCTTTACTAAGTTTAAGATTCAATTATTCAAACAGAAACTAAGAAACTAAAAGAAAATGGCAAATTAATACATAAAAACACACTGAAGGAGTGAAAATGAATAACATTCACGCTGATAAATGATGTTAAAACTTGACGTTTAATGAGGTAAAACATTACATTTTTCTTGAATGATGACCATGAATTAGGAATAATTACATTACAACACTATAATAAATTTGCTTCAATTTTTAAGAAAAATACATAATACTATTTTTTCAATTTTATCTAACTGCCATCCGAAACTTAGAGCATCATTATTATGAATGATTATATAAAAAAGGAGATGCAAACAAGTGCATTAAAATAAATGCTAATTTTTATGACAGTATCTTAAAAAGGGAGGGGAAAGAAAGACACCAATTTGCAACACAAAATAATCATATAAATAATGTTTATATATAAACTGTTAATTAAAAGACTGCAAATAAAATTTCCACAGAATAATTCTTTAGTGAGATACAGTACATCCACAAAAGAATAAAGACTTAAAGCATCAATATATATTCAATCTTATATTGATAATTATATATTCATATAATTATATTCTATATATCTTATATTGATTTTAAAAAATAAAAAAAAAAATAAAACGGCAATATTTTAATACACAATTACCTATACTGCATTCAAATACAATATTACCATTTTGAAATACAATAATGACTATTGCAAAGAAAACACCTTTGTAACATTTTTTTAAAGAATAGGCTACGGCCATATATTAACTGGAAGGATTTTTCTTACCATTTAATGCTCAGAACAATGGGCTACTGCAATATATTAATTGGAAAGATTTTGGTAACTGTTTAACGCTTAAAAGACGGGTGTCCTAAGAATTCACCAGAGCCGCAGTGTCTCAAAAAGACGGCTGTGGCTGAAATATCGGCCAGAGAAATTCTTCCCCCCCCCCATCCTTCAGGGTGCAATGATAGTCATTGTCCGAATAACCTCCCTTATGCAATGATCTTCGCGCCTCCCAACTTTTTGTTTTTGTAAATTCCCTTTTGTTTCCCTCAGCAGTTAAATCTTATCTCACGGCAAAATTTTTCAGCTGGGTCAAAGGATATCTGGTTTTCCAATATGTTCTTTGGTTGCCTTTTGCATGATTGACTTGCTCTTTAAAATTCTGCTTAATACTTGGATGTGTTTTACTTTTGCTATGTATATAAGAAAAAAAAAGACTTAACTCAAGAAGAAATCGAGAAATTGCTTCAAGATCTTGATAATGAAGCTTTTGGTGACAGTGATTCTGAATGTGAAACTGATAATGATGAAGGAAAAGAAGTGTCTTCCTTTATGGAATTTCAGTCTGTTTCGGAAGATGTCGCAGACAAAGGAAAAAATATTAATGAATTTCATTTGGAAGACTTAAGACATAAATTGCGTTGATCGTGATATTTCGATGAAAATAGGTATCTATTCTTTTAAAGGAATTAAACGCATTAAAAGAAAATGCTACAGAATGCGATAATGAAATTGATTTTTTTGAATGCGTATTTGAAATGCATATACTCGATTTCATAACATTCGAAACAAATAAATATGCCGAGGAGTTTTTCAAATTAACTGAAAGCGTTTCTAAAACAGCTGATTCGCGAAATGGGAAAAATGTGAGTGCATCGGAGCTAAGGAAATTCTTAACTCTGATTTTGCTTATGGGGCATAAAATATATAAATAGAAAATATATTTGCTTATGGGGCATAAAGATAAAGATAATTTAAAAGACTACTGGTCGATTGATGAGTTGATCGAAACCCTGTTTTTTGGTAAAGCCATGGCAAGAGATCGATATCTAAACATTCTTCGATTTCTTCACTTTCCTGATAATAAATTAGCACCGAATAAAGATTTTTAGTATGACCACATGTGGAAGATTCTGAATGTCTTTGAAATATTAAATTCTGGCTTCAAAGACGTATAGGACCCTACAGAACTTGTGGTTGATGAAGTTATCGTTGCTTTTAAAGTTCGAGTAATCTTACGCCAGTACATCCCGAAAAAGTGAAAACGTTTCAGTATTAAAGTCTACAAACTTGCAGATAAAAATGGTTATACATTCATCATGCATGTGTATATGGGAAAGGATAAAGTTTTAGGTGATGGAGAAAAATGTTCTGCACATCGAACTGTCACTGGATTTGTTGAATCCAGTGACAGTTCCCACAATTGTTTCTTGAACTTCACCGTAAGTCTGAAATAAACAGCTGTGGTATCCTTAGGTCAAATCGAAAATATTATCCGAAGAATCTGGCTTCTCCATGAATGAAAAAAGGTGAATGCAGAGAATTATTTTCACAGGGTATGGTAGGTACGTGCTGGAAGGATAAGCGAGAATTTTTATGCTGAGCAACATGCATAATCTATCCCGAGAATTAAAATCTGGATCTGAAAAGCCAGACGTAGTAACTAGTTGCAATGCCAATAAGGGTTATGTAGATCTCATCAACCGAATGGCTAATAGCTACACATTTGGGCCAGAAAACTCTGAAGTGACCAGAAAAAAAAAAAAAAAATTTTCTCACTTACTAGACCTGTCTATTTTGAATGCTTTCATTTTGTTCAAGATAAAAAATCCTGGGGTAAAACATAAGAATTTTAAAGAGAATTTCATTTATCAAATGGTTCAGAAAAATTTTGCTCAAGAACTAAAGGTAATGTCCTCGCCTAGAACGCCACAATCGGTTAAAAGGAAACTTTCAACGAACAACCACGACCAACACTAGCCATTTCAAATGAAAGTTCAGAGACGTTGCGTAGTTTGCACTAAAAACAGAATTAGGAAAGGAACTTCAATTTCATGCAAGAAATGTGATGTTGGACTATGTAAATTGTTTTGAAATTTATCACACTAGCAGACTTGAGATAGATATAAAATTTAATTCGAGCGCAGCCATTACACCTGTGACTTATCATATCAAATATACAAATTTGAAAATAACAACCAAAAAAGGGGGGAGAAAAAAGGCCTACCTTTAGGCAGAAATTTGAAAAAAAGATTTATGTATATTTAATCAACCTATACACTTGCACACATACATTACATACATATAGACATATACAAGCATATATGTATATATGTATATAATATATATATACAGACACACATACGTGTATAACGTACATATTACACGCATGTGGATATGACAAACATGCATATAGATATATAGTCTATCAGTGGTCGAGTGGTTAATATCACTGAACACTGGCAATTTGACTTGAACCTCAACAAACGGGATGGCTGCATGCCTGTTTTCCTTCCCTGTAACCTATGAACCAGTTTCCCTTAGAATGTGATCCACGAAGGCATTCCCTCCTGTGTGCTTTGCCCTGTTCACGTAACCTAACACTAATATGCCTTTGCGTATGGTATATACATATGTAAATGAGGGTAAGCCTGCATATACTTGAAAGTCACAGATTTAAATTCAAATATTATATTATTTTATATTTTTCTTTCGCATTCAGCATAGAAGTTTTATTCAAAAATACGAAGGAGATGAAACATGATAATATTCCAATTACTGGTTATTTTATGGAAAGAGACTAATTCCCCTTATAAAATTAGGACTTTCTGTGAGATCAGCAGTATTTACTCTTATATATTTGCTTTCTATATTTCTTTTATTATAAATATTTGTAAATCCAAAACGTGGCAACAAAGCAAAATGTATTAAATTACAGTTTTACAGAATTTATTAAGATTTAACTTTTAAAAAAAATCTCTCATTAAATTAGCATTTACTCTTCATTTCTTAGATAATCAAAATGAATATTAATTAAAATATAGATACATATGTATCCTTTTGTTTTAACTTCTTTCTTATATGAAAATTGTACCCGTATTTCCATACTGATAACAGTGAGGTCATACCTTCGATCAACTGAATATGACGTAATGGCATATCAGTGATATTGATATATACTGGTGGTTCTCGAAGGTTTTATTCTTTGTTTCAGCTAAAAAAGCTTCTGCTATTTCCTTCACGTACACAGGTACAAGGTATATATGGGCCGGTTTCATGTAAAAAGTCCTTAACAAAGGCCCATCAGTGGCCGAGCGATAAAAGGCACAGAACACTGGCAGTTTACTCCAGGATTCGAGTCCTGGCGAAAGGGCTGGTTGCATAAGCGTATTCAATGTTTTCTTCTTATGCAACATGCATAGAAGCGAGTTTCCCTTAAAACATCTTCCATGAAGCGCCCTCCCTTTCGGTGTAGTACCTAATATTCCGAAATTTCGGAAAAAATTCCACGTTCCATACTCAAGGACCCCATTCCAGATATGAATTCCTGGGGTATTTACAGGATTCCTTGCCAGTGTGGTTTAATTTACATTAGCCAAACTAAGAAAGCCTTAACATTTCACGTTAAGGAACATGAGGCATATGTTAGAAAAAACGAAACACAGAAGTATTCTGTTGTTCAACATTGTTGGTCCGAAAATCACACTTTCAATTTTTCTGATGCCAAAATTATTCAATAAATATCTTCCTTTGGTAAACTGGGTTTTCTAGAGGCATTTCACATTCAAAAAATATTTCTGTTCTAGTTAACGACCCTAACTCCAATCCATCTTTGCTTTCAGCCTTTAAAGAAATTATTTTTTACTTCTGGTTTCATCAACAGATGGCACCAGTAGCTTACCTCCTGACCAGACTTTCTTATCTTATCTAATCATTAATCTTATCTCGTTCATTTGCGCTTTTGCAGCTGAGGATAATGATTCAGTAAAACCATCGAAACTAGTCCTGTGAAAATTTGAAAATATAACGCTGATTTTTGTTGTTTGACTTCTAAATTAATATTTGTTGGGCGTGTTATTGTAGCTTAATTAAAGAAACGAAACTGAAGAAGCCTTAATGATACGAGTAAATGCACATTTTAATACAAGTTTGTACATTTACAGCATTATTTGCTACTTTCAACTGGAATGATTTCATGCATGTATATTATTATAATTAGAGAAAGCAACTGATGCAAAAAATTTAATAATTAAATTTGCTGGAAGTATGATTTTGAACTGAACGGGCAGATACTTTGCATTCAAATACCATATGTTTCTGAATGAATGTTGAATATACCATATTCAAATACCATCTTCTTTGAAGCACCATATGTCTAACTGACACATGGTGCTGCAAAAATTTTGATACATTCAGAAATTACAAATGGTAGATTCAGTTAGAATTAACATGGACAATAGCTATTTTGAAAAGCAGATTTTTCATATCATCATAGAATAATTAAAAACTGAGACAATTAAATAATCCAAAAGGAATCTCAGATAGATAGCTCCTCTATTCTTCATCATAAATAGAATATACACTTACACATGTAAGTACGGTATGTTACTACATATGGTATGTTGATGTATGATATGGTACAAATGGTATGTTGGCTATAGATGTTGCCTTTACACGCTAAAGAACAATATTTTGATTGTACATCCTCACAACAAAATTTAGCAAACTACAAACAAATAAGAAACATTAGCCGTAAGAAAGAAATTTCAAAATAATTAATTCATTTTAAAATTTCAAATACTGATTACAAATTAGCCAAGAAATTAGATTTCTAATGCGTCTTGTTTGTCACAGTATACAAAATCTAAGCTATTTGGAATATTTTCCTGCATATTTCAGAACACCAAATTCTTATCTGACAAACACAAATTATCTAAAACAAAATGTGAGTTTCAAATGCAGCTATCACACAGAAATTTCATACATTTTACATAAAAAAGGCAATATATGTTACAATTAAAAAAAATAAGAGCACTGAATTTTTTGAACAAGGTGTGAATTTCAAATGAAATAATCATACAGAAATGTATTCGATTTACACACACACAAAGCAAAATACTAAATTTTAAAAATGCAACCTTTTAACAATCTGAAAAAATATTATATATATATATATATATTATTTGTTTAAATTTACTTAATCATAACTTCATTCAGGAAAAAACATATTAAAATATTTACTGGACAATTTTTTGCTTAAAGAAGAGCAACCTATGTCAGATCACTCTCACTAATTTCATTGAAAAATCTCTGTCAATCTAAACTAACCCTTTTTTTTTTTAATTTAAAGGATTAGAAATAGCATTCTAAAATAAATTTTAAAAAATAAAATAAATAAAAAAAAACTAGACACATTTCTTAACCCACTGATGGTATGGTCATTTTAATCTAGTCATTCATTCTCTAAGATATTTTTTTAGTTATTTCTTTTTTTCATAATTTGATTGTTATCAAAACAAACAGCAAAGTAAATCATGATAGGAATGTTATGTAGATACCTAGGTCCTATGCTAGGTAGATACAATACTTCACTGGTGAATCTAACACATGCATTCATAGAGTTAAAGCATCATATGTGCACACAATTATAATAAGTTATTCAAAAATCGACCATTAGACAAAAGATTTTAATTCAATTTGAAAAAGATAAAAAAATCTCTAAATCAAATGAAATGCTAAAAAATAATTATCACATCACCTGTTAATATCCATTTTCATATATTTTTACGATGTTTCATTATTACATGAACCTTCAAATGAATTTTCTGTCGAAATTTCTGCCTACATATTTGACACTGATATGGCCTCTTTCCTGTATGTGTTAATATATGACGGCGAACATTATGTACATTTCGAGAATTATAATTACACACCGTACAGCAGTGCACTTGATTGAAACTTTTCACATACATTTCTGTTTCAAAGAATTCTTGACAATTTTTTATGTAATAACTGATTCCTATTAAAAAAAAATTAAAAGTAAGTAGAATTACGCAAAGGTGAGAAAAATGAAAATATGTTTAAGAAATTTGACATTAATATTCACAAAAAATAATAAAATATGACAGGCTGTTTAGTTAAATTGTAACAAAGTTTTACAGAACAATACAAGGAGATTTTATATTTAAAATATGAGTGATGGGGTAAGTGCTATAAAGGAAAGATTATAAAATTTAACCTTTATAAAAGACGGCAAAAAAAATTCTCTTTTCAAAATGCTATAAATTAAATCAATTTCAGAAAATGTAAATCATTTAAAAAATTAATGCCTTTTCAAATACGCCAGTATATTTATTTTATTTGTATTGAGGGGAAAATATATACATAGCCATAAAAAGTGAAATAAAGCAAAATATAGTCTGCAATTTAATTTTTGGGCCATTATGTTAATCCAACCAAAGACAGTTAATATAAAAAGGAAGGATATTACATTGATGAAAACAAATTTTTCTCAATGTAATATCCTTCCTTTTTATATTAATTTATATTAACATCTGTTATAACTGTAGCATAACCACAGTTATAACAGATGATAAAGACAAAGATTTTGAAGTAATGTAACATAAAATGTTGATACTAAAAGAATTGAGTATAAATTCAAAATTTACGTTTAAGATCATGTAAAAGGAAAAGCAGTACTATTTGAAGAAATGAAAAATATATTTACTCTTTAAAATATCTTATTTACCCACATACATTTTTACCCCTAGTTTTTTCAACATTAGATTTAGAAACTTTTGTTTTAAGGTAACAGTGCAAAATGTATGCACAAATAATAAATTATTTTGTATGAGTAAAAAGAACATTATTGAAACTGAAAAGTCATTTGCAAACATAATATTAATGTTGTTTTATGTGTGCTTTTTAATGTGATGTATTTATCATTTAACCCACCTGTTTAGAAATAGTATACATTGCATATTTCCCCCCTTTGCAATTAAAATTGGAAGGAAAAAGTGATCAAATACGTGAGTAAATATGATATTAAAATATTCATGTCAACTATCTAAAAGATTACAAAAATCATAATAAAAATAATGAGGTCTGTAAATATAAAATCATGCAATAAAAAACTTGATAGCACAATAAATTACAGCACAGCTGCATAATACTTAAAATTAATATCCTAATAATAAGAATGCAAATTGCTAAAAAAAAAACTGAATACTTCTTTTCAAGACTTTCATTTTAGTACACAGGCACGGGATTTGAAGTTTGGGGGAAAGAAAAAACTAGAATGTCATGTCCCTCTCCTTTAGGTCTCTTTTCTGGAAGCAAAAAATTTAATTCCTGAAGAAAAGGGACTTGCATTAGATCACCCTTGAAACTGGTACAGTTTTATTTCAGATTTACGCCAATCTAAAACTGCATTTTTTTGCTTAATTATAAACTTTAAATTTCTCTTGTAATTAGATACTGTTACTAATGTTTAATGCACGTGACTAGTTAACTAGTCACGTGCATTTTTTCCATTTATAAATCTTTCCACATCTATAGATGAATCACTAATGAAGAATAAACACTTAGGTTTTATGACCAGAAAATTTTATTGCTATTCCCTTTTTATTATTATTATTATTTTAGAGACTTTAAAAACAGCAGTCATTCTTTGTGCATCAAGAGCTCATTAGACTGATTAAAGGTTAATACTGAGGACAAATTTTGAAGAGAAGAATACAAAACTAATTTTTTTGTTACGACTTTTTAATATAATTTGATTACATTTATAAGAAAATAACATTTTCATCTTTAATAAACAATAATCTCTAAAACTGTATGAGCATGAATGTGTATATAATACTTTTATGCAATAAAAAATATAATGTCATTCTGATTTTTATTTATTCATCACATATAATAATTTATATATAAATAGATTATAAGATTTAATAATAAAAATATCTGATATGGTTTGTTTCACTGGCTTCCATTTTTAACACATATACATGCATATACAGAATAGATGCAAAAGACATCATTTCCTATTTGAAATTACTAATTCTAACTTTTTCCCTTGGATGATGTACATTTTAAAAAATTTTTCTAATATATAAGCTAAATAAGGAGAAAAATGAGTCAGATTCAATCACCTTTAGAACTCGCATTTATATTATTATACTTCAAAATGTTTATACACTTAGAAAACATTATTCTAGCATACATATATATAAATATATTTATTTATGATTTTATAAGTGTGATGTTTTTTCTCCATGCCGAACTACAATTTCTTGGATTCTCTGTCAATGCAAATAAACATAGTAAATCTTTGATTTTCAAGTTTCTCAGTAAAGAGCAAGGTCACTGCAATTATTTTTCATAAATATGAACAAAAACCAAACATTTACTTTATAATTTAACAAATCACAAAACATCCTTCTTTTGAATAATGAAAATAAAATATTTAAAACAATGCAAATTGATCTTAAAATTCAGATTTTAGTTTAACATAAGTTAAACATTTATGATATGCTTACTAAATCATTAAAGTTCAAGATATAAAAGAGTAAAAATCATGTATTTAAAATGAGCTGTTCAAACTAGTAATGTCAGATGGTTAAAAAATTTGCTATGGTATTATTCTCTCATAAATTACTGACACATGGAGACGCGAGTCCTCATTTAACAAAGAAAAGATATAATTTTTCATGACACGTCTGTGCATTATTTTAACTGGTTTTTTTGCACATAAGGTCTGAAGCAAACATATCCTGCTCAAGAAACTCTATTTTGCCAGGATATGAAATTCAAAAAATAAAAATAATAACATCTGAATTCAGGTTTTAATAAGTACACTAATATATAAATATGACAGAATTTTTTAAGGAGATGACGCACAACATGCCATAGTTGATGGATGAAAATATAGATGGAATCACCAGCCAGTTCAACATTTAGGTACGCAAGTAAACTAGCATAAGACATTTATTTATTATATATATGTGTGTTTTATACATAAATATATGCAAAGCTACAAGATTTAATATGGTTTGGTTTGTTTGTTTCCATTTTCAATACATGCACATGTATATACAGGGTGGGGAAAAGTAACTACTTTTTATTTAAAAGTGCTTAATGATTTTTGGGTGGGGGTGTGAGGGGGAGCAGGATGAACCAAAATATTTTATTCAATTATTTTATACATATTAATTATTTATACATCTTAAAATAATTACATTTGCATTTTTGTAATACACTTGAAATGAGAAAGAGAAGCAACATGCTAGCAAGTCAGAAGCAGAAAAGAAATGAAGTAGAATACAATTATGGTTTTATTTTATTCCTACTGGTTAATCAAGGCTTTGCTTTCTAAATTTTAATATTATTATTGGTTTAAACATTTTTTTTTTTATAATGCAAGTACAAGAGTGTTATATGAGAATCACATGGCAGAAATTAGTTTTCAAATGACACAGTTCAGACAGATTTATTATAAGTGTGTTACTATTGTTTATAAAAAGAGGACATAACCAAATTAAAAACTAGACCCAGGGACTGCTGAAATTTAGAATTTTATTCCACATATTCACTATCTTACATATAAAGCAAAATAAAGATTTCATATTATATACTTTTTATCTATATATATATATATATATATATATATATATATACACACACACATAATACATATACTATACACATTTATACATTTTTCATGTTTCAAAAAATGTCTTATAGTGTCATAAATATTGTAGCATGAATGTGCACAAACATTAAATCCTAGGTTCTTTCCTAAATCCCCCCAAGCAGTTTTTAATGCAAAATATAGCATATCATTTTTATGGCATTATCTGCCATTTGTGGAATATTATTTGATAAAATGTCACTAAGTCACTTTTGCAATTTTTTCCCTTTTGATAGATACATTTCATTTACACAAAATCAAAGATTTTTTTATTTTATATTTCTACAGCTTCGGTACTTTTTTTCTGTTTCTCACCAGTGGTTGGCAAATTAATTATTTATCATACCATATAAACTGCTTGTTCTAATTGACAGACCATTTTAAACAGTTTTATCCCGCAGTATGATACCAGTTTTTTTAATAAATCATAGCAAACTTATATAGTTATATCTCATTTCATAAGAATACCCTACATTCATTTTCTGAAAAGATATGGTCATATTCTACATTTATTTTGGATTCATGACATTCTTTTTTTCATGAGATTATGCAAAAATTTCAAGAAACACAAGCCATACAACTGCAAACACAAATTCACAAACTCATAGAATTAAACATGCCTAGCAAGACTGTTGATAACTGCCAGCTGATGCTTTCCTTGCAATATAAGTATGACTTTTATTTCTAATACTTAATAAATTGTCTTTACCACGCATAATATTGAATTCTAGCTTATAACCTAGACTTTTTTGATATCACAGAAGGAAGGAGGTGAGCTGCTTGTTTAATCAACCAAAAAATATCACGGCCAGGGGAAAAAAGGGAGGTAAATCAATTTAAGAGTTGAAAAATGAATTAAAGTTAATGCTATGTAAAGAAGTTCTAAATAACGGCTATCTAAAGTTAAGAACCTGAGGGTTATCTGCATAACACAGATGTTTTCATAGAAAATTATATAAGCCCACCAGCTGATAAAATATTCATGTAATACATTTCCTGAAGTAAAGATGACACTTAAGATTTCAATATATTTTAAACACTTCATTGTTCAAAGGGAGGCTGTAATAATACACTAAAGCTTAACATGCAGGTGCAGATTAATGTATAACATTACAGCTGGAGCACACTAAACTGAGAACATTAGGAAAGTTCCCAATCACCAAATTTCTTTATTTTTTTCATGTAGTTCTTTCTAGTGAGA